CTCCTTTCCCTCATCCCAGTTGTTCTTTCCTTTTGAGCAGTTTCTTTCCCTTTCGCAATATCTGTTGCACTTTTTGGATTTTGTTTATTCTTTTAGTTTCTTACACTAAGGAGACAATATGATGTTTACACACACGAGTCTGATTTTTTTCACCTATGAGTATGTTCCTTAGTTGCATCCGTTTACCTATAAAAGCCTCAAGTTTATCTTTCTCTACAGCTGAGTAACACTCCATTGTTTAAAAATATCACATCTTTTTACTCATTCCTCAGCTGATGGGCATTTGGGTTGTTTCCAAGATTTAGCTATGACAAACTGTGCTGCTAGTTAATGCTTAATTATTTTGGACCAATTTTGCATGCTTATATTTGATAATCTGAACCATACACAATATAACCACTATTGTTGATTTCCTATCATCTTGTTTTGAAATTCTGCATCATTTTTAATGTTTTTTTAAAATGTTATTCTCTTTTTTATTTATTTATTTATTTATTTGCGGTACCAGGGATTGAACTCACGACCTTGAGCTTGCCAGGCAGGTGCTTATGTCACTGAGCTAAATCCCCAGCCCCAAAAAGTTTTATTCTCTTTAAAATAAAAAAATTAAAAACTTGTGACCTAATTCATTATTTATTTGTTTTACTTTTAATTTTTGCAATATCCAGAGACTCAAACTCAGAGCCTTGAACATGCTGGGCAAATAGAAATGATACATGTTTATAGGGTACTGGGTGGTGTTTCAATACTTATCGACATTGTATAAAGTTCCAATCAGGGTAAATATATCTAATTCCTCAAACGTGTATAATTTCTGTGGTGAAAATACTCAAAGTCCTTTCTTGTAGCTTTGACAAAATGAGCAGTACTATATGGTATCAGTGGTCGCCCTATGTATCACATAGCATCAGGCCGCAGTTTCTCGTCACTGTCTAACTGTAGCTGAGTACGCGTCGGTCAAACTTTCTCTGCCCAGGGTCTGGGAACCACTATTCCACTCTCAGCTTCTGCGGGATCACTTTGATTTAAGCTCCACATTATGAGTGAGGTCATGTGGTCCTTGTCTTTCTGTGCCTGATTTACTTCACTTAGCATAATGAGCTCCAGTTCTAACTATGTGGTTGGTAATAACAGGATTTCATTCTTTTCATGGCCGAATACTATCTGGCTGTGTAAATGGACCACTTTTCCTTTGTGGAAGTACCTTCCACCGCATAAATGTGCCACATTTTTTTCATCCGTTCGTCAGCTGGTGGACACTCGGGTAGTTTCCAGTTCTTGACTATGGTGAACAGTGCTATAATGAACACGAGGGGTCATTGTCTCTTTGACAGATGATTCTGTTTCCTGCGGATATACACTCAGAAGGGGGAGCGCTGGAGCTTGAGATTATTCTATTTTTAATTGTTTTTTGAGGAACTTCCAAGCTGTTCTCCACAAAGGTTCTAATAATTCACATTCACAACCACAGCGTGTCCTATTTCATACATTTACATTTAACATCTAAAAACCAACATGTTCACATCACAAAGTTCCACGGCCTCGCACATTGTTTTGTGTGAGGTCTGGTGCTGGGTTAGAATTGAGCCCAGTGGTCTTCTGTCTGCTTCCTTGTCTTCCTTCTCTTCCTTGTCTTCTTATTTTCTCTTCCTCCTCCTCTCTCTCCTTCCTGTTTATTTGAATGTTTATGTCCACCTGAGACAATGTACTCCCAAAATGTCTAATAAAATAATGACAAAAAATGAGCCCTAACTAAATCAAGGGGAAACTGGGGCAAAAACAAGAGTCCATGTATTTAGAACTGTTACAGAAAGAGCACCTGTACAACATAAATATGTCACCTGATGGGTCACCACACAACCCTTTTCAAATCCTCTTGGCAGACTATGGCTCTAATGGGGCATTCATTTTCTTCTTTGGAATATGTGTTATTTTGTCCTAGGTTAATCTCTGTCTTATTACATCCAATCAGATGTTAGATTTTGTAAAGCCAAGAGCTACCTTATTTCCCATACTGCCTTGCGATATACATGTACAGTTCCTATCTGACTTGTGTCCACATCACTCACCAGGGCGTTTTCCTCTCTGCTGTGGTCCTTCTAGCCTCTTGACTGTCCTGCATTCCTGCCATGCTCACCCCATCCCTTAACCTCACAGGGGCACAGCAGGCCATGGAGTTCTCAGGGCCCAGAGGGCATAAGTTGTCATGGGATGGGGTACGGGATGGTCATGGATGCACTCTGGCCAGCACACCACCAGTCAGGCTGGCTCAGAAGGTAATTAATTCTCAGCATAGGCAGCCAAGACTTCTTGCATGGATTCTAATCTCTACCCATAATCTCGCAAAACTCTGTTTTGGTCTCTTAAAGATTGACCCCCTTGAAAATTCAAATAATTCAACCATGTGGTATGTATCTATTCCATATTAAAGTGGTTCCTAAATCACCCCCAAAATGGAACCTTGTTGCTCCAGGACTTCCCCAAACCTTGGGACAACCATGTGCTTTGTGGATCTCCACCAGAAAGATACAGTACCCAGGATTTTCCAAAAATATCTCATCACAGACCCAGCTCCTCTTAAAAACTTCTATTTTGCAGTGATTATAGACTCAAAGGAAGTTGTAGAACCAGTAGAGTGGCCCTGGGTTTCCCCTCATTCTGAGGAACTGTGAGGTAATTTGTAGGACTTTTTTCTTTTATTAAATTATTGGTACAATTCAGATACACATAATGATCACATTCATCATAGGAAATTTCTACCTGTACATGGTATATTTTGATTCTTCTTTTTTTCCCATTTCCCTCCTTCCTTCAATGCCTCTTTTCCTCTGTATTTACAAAGCTTTGTTTCCATTTATCCTTCTATTTTTTTTTCTTTTCCCTTCCTTTCTTCCTTCCCTCTCCTTGATTCCTTTTCTCATTTGAACATTTTCTTCCCATCTCCCAATATCTATTATACATTTTGGTTCTTATTTACACTTTCAGTTTCTCACACCAGGGAAGTAATATGATATTTACACATGTATGTTTGATTTATTTCACTTAAGAGTATGATCTCAACGTGCATCGATTTAGGTAGAAATGTCTTGAGCTTATCCTTCTTTCTGGCTGAATAGTACTCTATTTTTAAAAAATACGTTATCTTTATCCATTCATGAATTGATGGGCAGTGGGATGTTATAAAATTCCAAATTTTAGCTATTATAAACTGTGCTACTATGAGCATGGTATAGCAACGTAGTATGATGCTTTTAATTCTTTTGGAAAGATAGGAAGGAAAGGAATAGCTGGGTCAAATGGAACCACTAGCCCTAGTTTTTGAGGAATTTCCATAGTGATTGCACCAGTCTATACTCTCACCAACAGTAGAGAGGAGTTGCTTTTTCCCCACTGCCCTGACAGCATTTGTTATTGGTTGATGTCTTGATAACTGCCCTTCTTTTTGGAGTGAGATGGAATCTCAGCATTATTTTAATTGCATCTCTCAAATGACCAGTGATGTTGAACATTTTTCTATATATGTATTTGTCACTAGGTCTTTAAATTGGGGGAAATCTGATTTTTCTGTGTTCTTTATATAGTCTAGATATCAGTCCTTCAAGGAACAACTGGCAATTTTTTTTCCACACTGTGAGTTGTCTCTTTACTCTGTTGGTGATTTCTTTTGCTGTGCAGAAGCTTTTTAATAAGATGAGATCCCAGTTGTTGATTCTTTGTAATACTACCCTGTGCAATCGGGTTTTGTTCACAAACTCTTTACCTGCACCAGTGTCTTCAAGGGTTCCATCTATTCTCTGTTCCAGCAGATTTAGTGTTTCTGTTTTAATATTTATAACTTTGATTCACTTTGATTTTAGTTTAGTGCACAGTGAGTGACATGGGTCTAATTTTAGTCTTCAGGGTGTAGAAGGCTAGTTTTCCAGCTACATTTATTAAAGAGGCCATCTTTCTTCCAGTGAACTTGTTTGGTCCCCTTTATCATAGGTGAGGTGGATGAGTGTGTTTAGAGTTGTTTCTGCATCTTCTAACCTGTTCATTGATTCTAACCACTGTCTGTTGGGTCTTTTTTTTTTTTTTTTTTTTTTTTCCAGCACCTCACAGAACTAGAGAAAACATTCTTAAAATTCACTTGGAACCAGAAGAGACCCAGAATAACAAAACAATTCTGCACAACAAAAGCAGAGCAGGGGGTACCACAATCCCTGACTTGAAATTATATCATAGGGCAACTGTGATGAAATCAGCATGGTACTCGCAAAATTGTGTAGGATTTTAAGTCTTGGAAACTGCATGTGCTACTTCTTAAGATTTTCTTCTTGGGGAAAGAAAAAAGGAATGAATTCCTTCTGAAATCTGAGATGTCTTCTCATCTAGCACACACACACACACACACACACACACACACACACACATGGTCTCATTTTCCAAGTTTAGTTTCTATATTCTCAGGGCCAGACCCAGAAAATACATTTAAAAAACTTTTTGCAATAACTCCAAGCAAATGAAAATCCAACCAAAATACTGCGTTTCTGAGTAGAGTATATCAAGCAGCTTATTTCTGCTCAACATCTTGTCATCAATGCTGGCAATCAGGGACAGAGAAGTAAGCTCTAATTACAGAGAAGCCAAGCAGGGAGAGGTGGGTAATGAGGGGGAAAACCTAGCTGAACGTGGCACTCAGTTCTCTAATGCTGTCCTGCCGGTTGCCACTTGCTGAAGACTAATTTCCACCCAAGGAGAGGCTGAGAGGACAGCCCACCCTGGGGACACCTCCCCTCCATTCACAACGTATCACAAATGCTCCTGCTCTGGAGTTAGTTCCCTTTTCCCCTTTCTCTGTGAGCCATAAACTCCTGGCCCGACTTCTGGAACCACCAGACCCTGCCCCCACTTTGCACGTTCTGTACCCACTGCCTGGTGCACTCTTTCCCCCTGTCCTGGCAAACTTGCTTCATTCTTCAACCCACAGCCAGAAATAGCAGCTGGGATCAACCATTCCTTCCCCTTGCTTCCTTGGCCCCATTTTTATTGGCCAGTTTTCTTCCAGGGCCAGAAACACAAGTTGGACAAACTTCTGCAAAAATAGGCCTTTTATGGATCTCTAGGCCAAACCATGGGAAAAGCAGAGGCGTCAGGAGATAGGTGTGGGACAGCTGTCCTGGCTCTCCTGGCTGCTCTCTAAGGTCACTGGTTTCATTGTCTCATACTCCGTCCATGGGAAGAGCCCACAGGGGCCAGGTCCACTCTCCAGCTCCAGCTTCATACTGGGTTGCATAAGGAGAAAGGCTCTGCGCTCTCAGCAAGTTTAACAAGCTCCAGGGAGGACCCTTCGTGCCTGCCCAAGGTGTTCTTCAGGGTCTGAAAGCTTCCAATTGGTGAGTGAGGGTGCAGGGGGTGGGGGTCCCTGGTAAAGAATGGGGAAGGTTCTACCTGAAGACAGATCCTTAGTCACCAGATGATGTCACCTCCACTAAAAATGGATCACCTGTGACTCACGCCAATGGTGACCCTATCCTCTCTCACGGGATGGTGAGCCTGGTAAAGGGCACATGGCTGGCCTTACTCATGTTTCTGCCACCCAGTGCAGGGCATTGGCACAGCAATGTCTCACATGCCCAGTAGGCACACTTATAGTACCTAAGCTGAGTGGCTAAGCACAGTTAGCTTGCGGGATCAACGTCTTGTGACACGACTCAGAGTCTGTGTCATCCGGGCCCTTCCTCGTTCTCCCTGAACTGCAGAGAAGTTTAAAGGGGGATTAACAGCTAAAAAGTCTCCACATTATCTCTCCCCTAACAGACTTTCTGATCTGCCTTGAACCCATTAGTAATTCTTTAATTAAGAGTTTTTTTAAAAAATCAAGCAAAGATTTCCTATCAAATCACCTAGCTGTTGCTTTGCTACAGTTTTTTCTATTAAAGATTAAATTGCCAGATGGGGCTTTATTTGGACTTGGTATAGTTATGATAACAATTAGGAAAAACATTTTTATAGGTTTGAACTTGACAAGTTCAATATTGCTCTATGAGTGGCTGGCTTCCTTTCATTCCTACGGCAACATTAGATAAAATAGTTGACAATCTCCCAATAACCTAGTGTCTCAGTCACTTTTCTCTCATTGCTGAGACAAAATACCCAATGCCCAAAGTTAAAAGAGGAAAGGTTTATTTAGCTCACAGCTTGTAGAGGTTACAGTACATAGTTGGTTGGCTCCAAGGCAGGGTGGTACATGGCAGAGGGGTGTTGCAGAGAACAGTTTATGACACCCACAAAATAGCAAAAGCAACAAAGGAGAATCAGTCCATGGCAGCCAGAACGTAGCAGAGTAATGAGGCACTTTAACAGCATCTTTCTGTCCCTTTTATATTCTATCTAGGCTACTGGGATTAGGGTGGTTCCAAAACAACCAGTGGACTGATTTAGTAATCACTCACCCTTAATCCCAGCATTGCATCATGAATCAATCATATGCTCTAGACCCAGCAACCTCAGATAAAGCCCCATTAAGACTGCATGAGGCTTTGGGGGACATCTAGATGCAGGCCATAACAGTTATTAATTCAAAAGAGCTGTTCATTTTAGACATATTGTTTCAGTCTCCCTGGAAAAAAATTTACGTAGAGGGGTTTTTGAAAGGTATATAAAGAGTTTGTCTTCTTGGACCCCAGGAAGTGCTGTATATGTCACAGACTAACTTTGTCCCATCAGCACTTTAGTCTGGGCCTGCATCATCTCTCCTGAGACCAGAGAGGGGCACACTTGTCCTCTCTAGAAAGGACCAGATAGTAAACACACTCATATGATAAATAATGACACTTCAGTCAACAATGAAACACAGATATCATTGTAGTCCATGAAATTATGATGGAGAGACAGGGATGGTGACAAACACCTGTCATCCCAGCACACCAGGAGGCTGAGTTTAAAGAGGATCATAAATTTGAGCCCAGTCTGAGCAACTTAGTGAGTAGCAAGACTTTGTTTCAGAGTAAAAAGTAAAAAAAGGGCTGGGGATGTAGCTCAGGGTTCATCCCCCAAGCACTACAATAAGAAAAACAAAAATCAGAAAGAAGGAAGGAAGGAGGAAGGAAGGAAGAAATGCAGTACATATATAATGATGAAATGAAGCTGAAAAATTCCTACAGCCTAGTGACATCAGGGTCACCCTGACGCCATAGTACAACTCATTACTCACTTGTTATGGTGGAGCTGGTATAATCAAACCTCCTGCACTGTCAGTTGTATAAAAGTACAGCACATGCAATTATGTGCAGTCCATAATACTTGATATGACAGCAAATGACTATGTTACTGGTTTATATATTTATTATGCTACACAGTACTTTGTCATTATTTTGAACTGTACTCCTTGGACTTGTAAAACTAAGTTTACTGTAAAGCAGTTTGTACAAATAAACTCTATGATGTTCACACAATGACCAAATAGTTCCCCTTGTTAAGGGAGCATGACTCGACTTTAGACTTGGCCAATGCTCAGGCTCCATCCCAACTACTCCGTTAATGGGGTTCAAGGACTGCAGATAATTGGCAGATGAAGAGTGGTGGCTGTGTGCCAACTAAACCCTCCTGACCTGGCTGTGGGCTGGGATGGAGCCTTGGGCTGTCGTTTGCCAACCTCTGGGTAGCATTCCTCAATCACTCCCTGCACAGTGTTGGCCTCTGTGGTATTTTTCTTTATATCTAGGCCTGTACAGAGTGTCTGGCACCTAAGTGACTTTCCATAGAAGTTTGTTGAAAGAATGAATGAGGCCCTAGCCCATGCCCACCTGTGAAATCATTCCATCACTGAGCTGCTGAAGATGATTTCCAAATTCATTAACTTCAAATAAAAGATGCAAAGCTCGAGTATTTACCAAAAGTTAGAAATCTACCTCCTTTCTAATGACACAATCCGTATGTTATTGTTGCATGCACTCCTCTGAGAAACAGAATCCAGTGTCTGTTATTGAGAGCGTGTTCCAACACATTCCTCTTGGTAAGGGGAAACATGGTAGGTTTGAGCAGGGCTTGAACAAGAAGTGTTTTGTTTTTATGTTTGAACAAGAGTACCTCAGACATAGAGGAATGATGAGGAGAGCTGTAGCTGGCAGGAAGAACTTTAATGACATCATATCATTAAATTTTGTGTTTGGCCAGACATATTTTGCATGCCTCTGGGATTAATCATTCTTAGAAGAAAGTCCTAGCCTTATTACTTTTAGTCATGGCAAAAAAGGCTTTGGTTCAACTGTTTGCTTTTCTAAAGAAGAGTTGCCATGGGCCACGCAGCTTCCCTCTGTGTAACTTGATGCGGAAAGGGTGTGTGCTTTTGGGGACTGACATGAAACTCAGATGTCCGACAGTGGGTGGTTGCAGCCACGGCTAGGATGAGTCTCTGAGTCACAATGAGAGTCCGGTAACTTATCCTCCAGTCATATTAGGAAGCCTTGTCAAGACGCTGTAGGGGGTTTGTTTTGTTTAGTTTTTGTTTTCTGTACTGAGAATTGAACCTAGCACCCCATACGTGCTGAGCAATTGCTCTTCCACTGAGCTACACCCTATTCTGACAGCATGTAACAAACAGAGGGTCACAGAGCCCAAGTACCACCCAAACAGGCAAATTAGGCCTCGAGCTGGACCCCAACACATCCATCTGCAAACTGCAGGAGGCGGGGAGATGCTGGAGCCTGCTTTTACCAGCTTGTCAGAGCCAGCTCTTCAGAGCCTTTCCTGGTGACTTCACACTTGTGGCTTGGAATCAGCGACGTGGGAGGATTTGTGCACTGGAAATAGGCAAGCAATGCCAATCACAGCCTCTGGCTCTGGGAGGGGGTTGTTTAACACTTCCTAGCACGCTACTGACAAGTTCCCTCGAAACATTCTGTTTTCTCATCCTCCTACAACAAGGTACATCTCAGGTAGAAGCCTGCTAATCACTCTGCATCTCTGTTTTCTCACCTATAAAACAGGAGTTGCTACTGCTTGAAGATCCACATCGAAACTTAAGTTGAAATTTAATCTCCATTGTTAGGTACTAAGAGGTAGAACTAAGTGAGCCTGCTTAGAGGTGCTTAGGACCTAAGAGCTTTGTTCTTACAAATGGATTAACCCATTCTTGCATTAATGAATTATCTCTGAACTCACTTGGCTGTAAAATTAAGCTCTCTTGGGCATACTTGCTTTTTCTGACCATGCAATGCCCTTCACCAGGTCAAGAATCAGTGGGAAGGCCCTGACCAAAAGCTGAGCAGTTACCTGCACCATTCTTTTGGACTTCCCAGCCTCTAAAACCATGAATGAGAGATAAATCTCCATATTTTATAAATTACCTACTCTATTGTATTCCCTTATAGCAATAGAAAGCAGACTAAGACAGAAGTAATACCTTGCAAAGAAATATAAGGATTAAATTATCTGTATTTATATCTATATATAACATTTAGTTTATTGCAAGGCTGTATATAATTATTAAAGGTGGTTATTATTTTTATTGATTAAGGAAGAGAGGGGCTGGAGAATGACAAGGACAACAGGAAATTAAGTTTCAAATAGTAATTTTAGTCTAGAGGTCTCACAATAGCTAAAGAGGTCAGTGTCAGACATCTGGTCTACCATCAAGGCCAAGCTGGCATAAGAACCTGGAAGTGGGAGGTGTGATTCTGCTCCCAGCTCTCACGTCACCTCTGCCTATGACTTCAGCTTTCACTCACAGCTTCACCTATCAAAGAACTCAAAATAGGATCAGAAGAGGAGCAGCTGTTACCCAAACCTGCTCAGCTGGCCTCAGACCAAGTTCTCAGGAACCTCCCCAGCATAAGGCTGGCGTAAAGGAAGGAGGTAACAATGGGTGGAGTGCACAATGGAGCTGGTGTCCATGGAAGCAGGAAAGAATTAAGTACGGCTGGAACATGTTCTGAATTGGCTGACTCTTCGCTGTGCTTTGAAAAGGAAGCTTTTAACTATGGTAACTGGGTCACAGTGGACAACCACAAGAAAGAGGAGCTAAGCTCTTGTTTTCTTCCAGGAAGTAGAGAAGTTTGTTTTATGTTCATTTTCAGGGGATTCTGGGGGTTATAATTTGACTGAGTTCTGTACCTCCCTCACCACAGAAACCCAAATCAGTAAAAGGAAATATGTTCTGAATTTTCAGACTCTAGGTCTTAGAGTTGTACATGGATGGTAAGCAGTTTGCTGAGAATGCCTTCTTCCAGACCGTGTCTCCCATCTTCACTGGCTACTGCATTGGCCGGGATGCTTCGTTGTAGGGCAAAACATAACACCTTGGGAGATAAGGGCAACAGTGCTGTGGTTTAAGTGTGCTCTCCCAAAATTTCCCGTGTTGCCAATGGGATGATGTTAAAGGTGAGGCTTTGCGAGGTGATCAGGCCATGAGGGTATCCCCTCGTGAGTGGGATTAAGGTCCTTGCTGAAGGCATTGTGACAGAATCAGTTTGCTCCTTTGCTTTTCCATCACATCAGGACACATATTCCTCCCTTCCAGAGGAGGCAGCCTTCTCCAGAACACTGAACTTATCTGTACCTTGATCCTGGACCTCAAAGCCTCCAGAACTGTGAGAAATCAATTTCTGTTCTTTATAAATTACTTCTGTTCTTTATGATAAAAGGAAGTATCATCCCATGAGCTGTAGTTTGCAATATCTGTCTAACAGAGGAAACAGTTTTCATCTCTTTGCAAAGAATTTCAATCTGCTTTTAGTGAGCTGGGTGGGCCAGAACAGTTCCTATAGAGACAGCTGTGGACTGGAGGTTCTCTAATCTCTTGCCTACATACCATCCCAGACTGTGCTTTTCCTGCTATTGACAATGTCTGTTGGACACACTTTCTCCAAAGAAATGAATGACATGAATCCGTGGTGTAGGAATAAATGTTGGTTGAAATCAGGACAGGTTGGAAGAGAGAATCAGCTGTGTTATAGAAGCTCCAGCATTTTCTTCAAATGTTGATTTCACCTGGAAAGTCCCCTCGGGATACAGTTGCCCTTATCTCCCAGGGTGTTATGTTTTGCCCTTGAGATCCAGGTGACACAGTCATGACATAGTCAAGGACCACCACAAGGACACGGGAATAGGCAGAATCCCAGGCCTTGACCTGCTACTAATTAAAAGCATCATTTGTGTTTTCTCCTGGGATAGGCAGGGACTTGTAAGCCATTTCTGCTATGAAGTATGACTTCAGCTGGTCTTACAGAGGCCAAGTAGGTAACTGAAAACACAACTAAGCTTGACCTTCATGTTGGATCCTGTGTTACTGGGAGTCTTGGGTCAAATCCCTTCTCAGTTCTGCATAGGGGTGTGTTGATCATTTAGGGAGTGCCCATCTAAGACCTGGATGGACAGGCTGGATGTGCCCTGAATTTACCACCCACCCCCTTCAAGACTGAGGACACCAAGATAAAAGTTTAGGGACATTTAGATACATCCAGAAGTCTCCAGCCCTTGTTCTAAATCTGTGATCACCTGAATTCCAGGAAAGGCAGAGTCCTACCCAACTGAGATGATGTTAGACAGGGATAATCCTTCTTGGAAATGAGACCACCCCTCAGCTAAAAAGAAATAAGACACTGGGAGTGAAATACTGATCAAACAGATCCTAGTCCACCCGCTAATGCTTGAAAGCTGGCCTCCTGCCTTTGTGGGGGGACCAGTCTGAACTTCTGCATGCCCCCTTCAGCTACCTAAGCTGGAGGCCTTTCTTATATTCCTTCTAACTTTCTTTTTTTTTTTTTTTTTTTTTTTTTTTTTTTTTTTGTTTTTTTGGTTTTTCTCCAGTACTGGGAACCGAACTCACGACCTTGCACTTGGCAGGCAGGCGCTTTTGCCGCTGAGCTAAATCCCCAGCCCCTCCTTCTAACTTTCTAACTGAAGACTTTTTTCCTATAAATTTGTGCTTTAGTTTTAATTTCCATTTGTACTAAAACAGGAACCCATGCTAGCCAGTGACCCAGGGATCTATGCACTGCAAGCTAAGAAATAGCTCAGGTATTTGCCCCTTCTTAGACCATACAAGTGCGAAAAAAATTATTAGTAGAACTACCCATTGCAACCTCTACTATTATTACCACTAAGATAAGTAACTAATGGAGCAAACTTTACAATTTACCTACACATGCACATTATTGCTTAAGTTTCAACAGTGACAACAGTCTTTTAATGTAGTCATTGTGAGTAACTTTTATTCACTGGTTACAACCTCCCAATCAGTGTACAAGGCATTCAGATGCGCTCAATCTTTGCATCAATACCCCAAGGGAGGTGCTATTATTTTCCCATTTGTCAGATGAGGAAATTAAAGCCTAAGGAATTTAAGTAACTTCCCCAGGGTCATATTACCGTACTTGTAAATAGTAGACACTATCTCCAAATACATGTCTCGCTCACTCTAAAATCTAAGATTGTAGATTTTAAGTGCTCTTTCCTATTATTTTTATGTCAATGTTATTATAAGCCTCAGTTCTGGTGAACTGGGGTCTAATGATTGGGAGTGTATGACCCAGGACAACTCATCTGGTAAAGGGCAGAGGCACCTGCAACTTCTCTTTCCATCACCCCAATGGCTGAAGACAGCTGATTACTGCTGAAAAATAGCAGTAGGGTCGCAGTGCTTGGAGAAGTTAGGAGACTGGGGTACAATTATTCAATTTTCTAATTCATCAGGTGCCCCCCTCATCCCAAACAGAATGCCACATCACTTATCTGAAAGGTAACAGGTTGGAGGGCAAAGGTACCTGAATTAGAATCTTGGTCAAACACTTAACTTCTCTGAGCCTCTGACTCTGTAGTATTTGGGAAATATAGCCTAGTAGAATCTTTGGGAAGATTAAATGAGACAATGGCACAAACTATGACTTAAGGCCCGATACATACATACTCAGCCATCCTTTGCCAACTGTAAATGCCTCTTTTCTTTTCTCCTGTTTCCAGAAAGCCTGCAATGTTGGATGTTGCTGATGGATGGATGGATGGATGGATGGATGGATGGATAGATAAATGGCTGGTTGACTAGCTGGCTGAATGGTCCCACTCCCTCATAAGAAGAAGGCTCCAGAACAGGTACAAAACAAGATCCACTTCCCTCTAGTTTGGGGGAAAAACTTTTCTCCTCAAGTTACATAAACACATATGCATAAAGAAAAACTGGCTAACGGAAGTGAGCTGCTTGGATGACATTAGTCCTAGCCACAGCTGGACACAGCAGAGGAGGGACTATTCCCAGGACTGTGGGCCACAGCCACAAGGGCAATCGTGCCACTTCAGCTTTCTGTGGTGAGCTCCTGCTCACACCCACAGTCTCCTTCCTAGGTTAAGGAGGAAGCGGCACCGAAGCCAAGAAACTGTTTGAGGTTTTTCTATTTTGACTTACAAGATGAAGAAGCACACAACAAAATTTCCCTTTGAACCCTACAGTGGTCTTGGGCAATTAGTAGGAAATTCAATAGAAATATTTAACATTTTGACACAAGTTAACAGCTCACTAAACACATCTTAGACAGGAGTAAGTTAGTTAATGAAATTGTCCTGTAGCTTGACTTAAAGTAGGCACAAAATACTCATGTAGGAAGAATGCCCTACCTTTCTCATCCCACAAGACTTTCTGAGCAGCCCTACAGGTTAGTTGCTATGGGGATAAAGATGTTAACAAGGTAAAGTAATGAAGTAATCTTTTTCATAACTGCATAAGTGAAAACAGTAGAACAGAACCTTCCCACCACTGTCCAGAGGGAAATAATGCCGGCTTAAATAGATTTAAATCATTTTTTCTCTGACCAATGTTGAAAACTTGCTTCTGTGGCTGCCCCCCTCAGAACTGTGCCACGGTTGTCATTTATTACTCTCAACGTTTTCCCCATGGACTCTATCTAAGGTGAGCAACCCCATGGATACGAAATATATAAATTTATGAAAAATATCCTTTGTGCCTCTGCAGCACAAAAGCGCAGAAGGAAATGCTGAGACTTCCTGCTGATCTATGGAGGTTGCAATTCCTCAAGGTTCTCTTCCTCAGCTCCTAACACGTCCTGCGCAGACAGGAGGAAAGGACCCTTACTGGGTTAAACCAGCAGCCCAGGAATGAGATGAGCCACAGACGACAGCCCCAGCTGAAACTGTACATACAGGAAGATGTTGAAACTCAGACAAAATCTTCTTTTGCCTAAGTATTATTCTGATAACATACTTTCAGCTTGGGAAAACCTAAGAGTAGGAGCATTTCCAGGGGAACATATGCATTCCCCATTTCAGTTTGCCAAGGGCAGGAATGAAACTTTTTTATTTCTGCAAGGATAAGAGGAAGTTCCATCCAAAGGAGGCATTCAACATTCCCACTCTCAGGCAGGTGGTCCAGAGAAAATCCAGACAAAGACACTGTATTAGTCATCTTTCTGTTGCTGAGACAAAAGACCTGACACAATTTAAAGAAGAAGAGGCTTATTTTGGCTATTGGTTTCAGAGGTTGCAGTCCATGGTTGGCTGGCTTTAAGGCAGAAGCATCATGGTGGAAGGGTGTGACTACAGGAAACTGCTCAGTTCCTGCTATCCAGGAAGCAGAGAACAATGGTAGAGCCCAAGAGGATGGGGCCAGGGACTGTATATGATCCCTATGGTAACACACCATGGCCCACTAAGACATTCCCCGAAATGCACTTTGCTAGATAGGCATCTCCAAGCCAATAAAGTTGGCAATCAAGGTTGATTGCCACAGATACTTATACCTATTGTGACAAATGATCAACAAAACCCAGACTGGGAATATTTAGTAATAACATTTTCTGTGGTGGGTATCTAACATGCCTAAGAGGGTCTGAATGCACACAGTCACACGAGATTAGACTGCAAGCCTTAGTTAGACTGTCTGGGTCACCTTTTGCTATAGACTTGGCCACGGCGGGACCTGGTCTATTGACACTGCTGAAGAGCATCATTGGAAGGAAGTGGGTTCATGAGATAATCTAATCCAGTGCTTCCCATCCTTTTATGAGAAGGGTATGGGTTCTGGAGTCAGACCACCGGGATGGAATTCTGCTCTGTCATCACTTGCTGTGAGTGAAACAAGCCCCAGCACCCTCTGTGATGTGGCAGTGACAAGCCTGGAAGCACAGAGGGAAATCCCTGGCACAAAGTGCTTGTGGTATAAACAGTAGCCGTTAGCAGTGCCTTGCACCCAGGAGGGGGTGTCCCTGTTCTGGCCCCAGGCTCCACAGGGTCCCAGTCTAGCCCTGCCCATTGGGGTGAGAATGTGCCCACCCGCAGCTCATGTGTGTCTCGCTTTAGACCACCTTTCAGGTAACTGGGACCCCAGATTTCTTGCCCAAACTCTCCTATCTCCACATAGAGGGCCAGCATGAGTCAACCCCCCAGGTTCTGTCCTCCAGGTGGCCACACTCCTAGTCCAAAGGGTGGAGACAGGAAGTCATCGATAGGCTCTATGGATGGACCATGGCCTTGTGTGCTTTGGGGTCCATGTCTGTGCACCAGAGATGCCAGGAGCTGGCTGGTCCTACCTTGCATCCCACAAATGTCATGACTCTCAAAGTGTACAGAAAGTCTACCCTTGAATTTGGTCTTCAGGCCATTACGTAAATGTATTTGCAAAGGACGGAGGATAAGAGCCCATCTTAGGTTTTGTTAGTAGCTTCTAAATATTCGGATCTATGGTGTGGGGACCTCCACTTGTGCTCTTGGCCCAAAGCTGTTGACTGAAGTGATCACACCTGTCCTGCTGCAGTGTGATGCCTGGCCCAAGGTGAAGGCTCAGTATACACTGACAATGCAGGAAGGCATGGGCAAAGATTTGTAGTGGAGGATGCTTCCTGAGACGTTATGTGTGACAGTAGAAATTTGGGAACAATCCAAATGCCTAAAATTAGAAAAATGGTCAGTGTATTAAATATCTGTATGATTAAGAATCTTTAAAAATTGTTTTTGGCTAAATCACAGTGACATGTTTAAATCCTCACAATATAATATTAAGTGAAAAACAGGACACGAAGGGGCTGGAGTGTAGATCAGTAGTAGAACGCTTGCCTAGCATGTTCCCAACACTTCGCAGTGCTGGGTTCAATCTCCAGCACTGCAAAAGAAAAAAAAAAAAGATAGGAAATGACATATAAATGTGTAGTATAAACCCCAGTGTCCAACGGACACATACATCAATGACATCAAGGCATTAACAGAGTTGTCAGCTGTAATTGTGGAATTCTGAGAGATTTTTATTTTCTAAGTCATTATTTTTGCGGGTGCACACATATTATGAAACATTATTTTTAAAAAACCCAGAAAATCCCAGAAGCAAAATCAAAAGTAAAATCTGCTACCAAAGAAAAGCTCTGCAACATGCATGAGGCATAAGTTTGCTGTCATCAATCCACAGACAACTTCCATACCAGAGGCAAAAGCTGGGAGAATGGGAAGGAAGTCAGCTCTCCACTGAAAGCCACGGTTTCTTCTCTGCGCAGTTCCTTCCGGCTTTGTTTTGAGTCTTCCTGTCCAGCCACCTGCACCGTGCTTTCCTGTGTCCCTTGGGGTTTGGTGTGGCCTCGGGGCAAGTGTGACAGAGCGATGTGCACAGATGCTAGCCTGGCCCCTAAACCCTCGGGAACTTTGTAAAACAGTGGATCCCATTGTCAAAACTTAGCCTACATTGAGCTATGAGCATATGCTCGGCACTGCGCAGACACGTTTTCATTTCATCCTCACAGCAATCTAGGGAAGCAGTGATTATTCTTCTTCCCACTTTCGAGATGAGAAAACTGAGGCTACAGACCAATTCACTCCATGGCATGCAGTATGTGTCTGATCCAAATGGGTGAAAGGAGTTTATCCCAAAATACAGTACACTGGTTACTTCTGCGTGTATGTTCTCTCCACAAACAGACATTATTTATATAACATTTAATTGTTTTTTTTCAATCCCAGGGATTGAAACTAGGGTCAGACATGCAGGCACTCAAGCCCTTCCGCAAGACATACAAAATCAGAATCAGAATCGACATTTCAGGAAGACCCAAAGGTGACTTGAATTCATATTAAACTTTGAGAAATGCTGCATAGAAAGTGATTCTTAAGCTGGGCTGCTGATTGAAATCTCCTGGGAAGTTTGTAAAAAGTACTAATGCCCACAGACTTGCTTTTATTTGGAACAGAATTTAAGGTTGGCACAGAGGTTCTTATAAGCCCCCAGGTGGTTCTCACCTGTGGTCAGAACTGACGTTCGATAAAGACAGTCAGCTGGATTGACCCGGTTGGTCACAATGACAAAAAGAGTGCCTATCAGAGAGTCCTAAGACATTCAGGGACCCTAGCTTGGCTATTACAAGGGAAATTCTCATCTGTCTATGCCCACAGGGACTTCTACCGAAAAGAGAAGTTGCCACCTGCCAATTCACGGTCTCTTGAGCCAGTTCCTGTGTGGTTTTCACACCCGTCCACAGAGGACGCAAAGTCTTAGGAGCCCGGCCCAGCCACACATGGAGCGGAACTCCAAGAGCTGTGGTAGCGCTGGGAGAACATGGAAGTACTTAGATGTCATCAACTCAGAAGGATGGATGCCTGTGAAGTCAGGATGACTCACATGGTCTGAAAGCCTCACCCTTCAACAACAGAACTTATTTATAGAGAGAACGAATGTAAAGATGCCGAACACCACATGGACTTCTTTGGTGGAGGGACACCGGGAGGCCTATGGGACATGTTGGAGCCATCAGGTCTGCGGGGAGGGGGACCACCAAAGGAGAGGCATCTTGAGAGTTTAAAATGTATTTGCAAATAGAATGCTATTTGTGCAGACTCTCTGATGTGGCATAAGGCCCTGAGGATGGCATGTGACGTGCTAGCGACATACAGTCTCTCATAGAACCCCAGAATGAATTCCTAGGAAGACATGAGGTGAGGTTCAGGGCTCCCAACTCCTGCCTTCAGACACAAAACTTACACCCTGTTTCCCCAGATCCCAAAACACCCATACAAGGTCACAGAGGGATAATGTGGTCCGGCCATTCCGCTTGTGATGGCGGCAGCTGCCTTTGCGGGCCGGTATCCTTCCTCACTGGTGAGTGTCTGATCCGAGGTCTTCTCCAGCTCAGACAGAATCTGACCCATGCACATTTTGGGGAGCTGTCTTTGCTCTTTTACCCATCCACAGATGGAATGCTTTAAATTTCTGGCCACAGTCACATCATTAGTCCAAAATGAAGGCTATGGAGGGTCTCACCTCGGGAGACTTACATGACCTGTTATTTCCCAAGCCTGGAGGCCGGAGTGGCTTGAGGAAGAAGGCCCGTCCTCTGAAATTAGCTTGAGATGCTTCATCAGAGCAAAGCAGTAACTACGGTGTGCACAGCCCAAGCTGGGACAGCAGGGATCATCAGTGCTGCCCGACAAGCCACGCAGGCAGTCGCCCTGTCCCTTCCTGCTGCTTCATGGCATGGTGCGTTCAGCAGAATAACAAGACTGGTGTGCCTTGAAGTGTGTCCAGCGTCCACCAGACCTTCACAGTGTGTGCGCTCCGCTCACAGCCACTGCCATCTTATTGGGACACATCTCTTGTGCCATTCCCAAATCACTCCACCACCTTCTGCACAACTTGGTTCGCAAGAAGCGAGCTGTACTGTCAGGCCGCTGTTTCTCAGTGGAGGAGCCAGCACGGGCCACACACAGCTCAGGAAATTATGCTCAGCCATGACCTGACACTGGGTCTTCCCCATGTATATCTGCGCCGACACTGGGGGCCTTGGAGCCATAGAGGTAGATACAAATACCCTTGCAAGTGCACACGGGGTGCTGAGGCCCAGACCACCCTGTGTGGAAAGTACTGAGTAGATGCCCTTAAGTGAAGGATCCTTTCAATAAACTGCTTTGCTGTGGGGAGACTGAATAGCTCGTCTCTTAGGACAAGCTGGAGATACATTTGCAGGCAGGTAAATGTTTCCTAGGTTTAAAGAAAAAGCTGAAAACAGGGGGAAGAAGCTAACCAATCAGAGAAATGCTCCTGTGATATTTCCACTCGAGGGATGTTTCCCTAAAGAAATATTATTGGAGATTATTAGTAAAACTGGGGAATGTACGGATAAGTTTCGTCACTTATTTCCTGCCTGGCCCTGATTACCATGCCTCAGTTTTCTCTCACAGCATTAGAATATAGTGGCGTCCCATCTCTTAGAGATAGAATCAGCCATACATGTAGGGTTTTCTTGGCACCGTGATGGCTTCCTTGGAAGGGTTAACGAACTCTCAGCTCTTAGTATCGTCTCACTCAATGACTTGCTCAAGTACCCCAAAAGGCATGTGACGTGCCTCACCCCTTGCCTGCATTCGCCGTCCATCTCCTGTGACTGAGCCTTGCATACCTAGGACTTTGAGTCCACAGAAATCCCAGCTAGCGAGCCTCGTTATCCCTGTAGCTGTGAGTATGCTGTGCTGCATCCAGCTCCCTGAGTGCAGCTGGCACCAGTGTCCTCAGTGCCCTCCATCCCTAATCTCCCTTCTGTGTCCTGGGCACGTTCCCTCCGGTGTCCCTAAATCCTCCTTGAGCTGGTGCCTAGAGTGAGCCTGGCCCAGCAGAGAGACTCTGGGGCTGCTCCGGCATCTCAGCAAAGAGCCCACCTGATCCTTGGTGCTGTGCTGGCAGCTGCGACAGTCATGCCACTCAACAATGAGAATGCGCTGTGGGAAACAGATGTTAGACAACCTCGTGTTGCATGGCGTCATAGGATGCACTTAAGAGCTGAATGGAGTGGGGCGATCACTGGGGGTCCATCCAGAGATGCAGTAAACATGGGAGGGATGAGGCTGCTCTGCAGTCAGCACGGTTTTGTATGAGTAGTACACTCCATGGCAATGATAAAAGTATGGAAGGTACTTTAACTAGAACTTAGCCATGGCTTACCATCATCCATTATGACCCATCAGACACAGCTGTGTGTGCTGTACTTTTATGTGACTGGCAGGGGGTAGTTTGTTGTCACCAACATCATTACAAACACGTGAGTCATGGGTTGTGTTGTGATGTTATGATGGCTGCAGTATCACTAGACGATAGGAATCTCTCAGCCCCATTGCAGTCCAATGGAGCTGCATCTTTACCTTTGGTTGACCGAAACATTCCTATGCACCTATGATGGTATTGGTGATAAAGTTCCATTCTGGGCAGAGTTCCCTGTAGGAACAAACACAGACGAGAGCATAACGACCATGGGCAGATCCACAGGTTGCAACATCTTCTGACCTTTCACAGCCTTGCAGCCCTGGTGCCCCGGCAGGTGAGATTCTGCTGCTCACCATCCCCACGGCAAGGGTAAGACAGCCTGGCAACACCCAAAAGGTGGTGGTGGCCTCCAGGACACAGAAGGGCTCTCAGCTCTGTGATAGTTGGGAAGAAATAGCTTTGGAAAGATTTCTGCCCAATATTCGCAGGTCAGCCACAACATCTGGGGCCACAGCAAACACAGGCGGAGGGGCCCGGCCAAAGGACGGACAACTGTCCCCGTGGAGCAGCCTGCAGAGGGGCAGACCTGGCACACACAGCGTGTTTCTCAGGTCATGGCAATAGGGGCTACTTTCCCCCAGTGGCCCAGGAAGGATGCCTGCTTAGTCCTCCACGAAGGCAAGCCTCACTGTTCATCTCCAAATGCAGACACCGGATGAAGTGTGGGCTGGTTTGGACACGCAGGATTCAAAGTGGAGAAGAGCAGTGCCATTTCCAGGACTAATTAGGATGTGAGTCAGTGCAATTTGTCAGATACTTCGATGCTGCCTTTCGTACTGATTCATAAATGGCAGAGACAACGGGGGGTTGGGATTCAGTGTTCTGTGTCCACAGGAGTAGGCATTTGGGGGGCGTTTATTGGCCTTCAAATCATGGCGGGTGCAGTGGGACAGAGCTGTTGCCCACACACATGGAAAATGTGAAGTACATTTGGATGCATGAGGAATAAAGCGCGCGCACACACACACACACACACACACACACACACACACACACACAGTGAGAGGCGCACATCCCGACACTGTAGAAAAACAGTGAATTAACATGAATGTGCTTTCAAAAGCAGACGGGTTTCAGTCATAAGTAAGGGAGTAAAAGCCGGAATTATCTTACTGTCAGCGAACTGGGTTAACTTAAACACATGCTGGTTTTCTGGTAAAGAAGGGCTTGTATTTTCCAAGCAAGCAGTCCGCCTCGGAGAAGCTGAGCTCACGCCCGCTCTGGCACACTCAGCCGTGCGTGTCCTCACACATCCTTGCTGATTTTGCCATGTTTTGTTTTCCTGGAAGGGACCTCAAGCTGCTGCAGGAAAATTCCACATTAGTGGTGGGAAGAAGGAAACAGCAGAGAGTGTGTTCTTGATCAGCCCCAGGAGGAGGGAGGCGCCATGGCAGTCGAGCTGTGTCCTCCTGCTTTGCTGCCCCATGTCACCTATAGTCTGTTTATTTGGAGCAGGAAAGAGTGGACACAAAAGGCTCCCTTGGAATTGTGCGCTGTGGGATGGAGCAGCAAGTGTGAGACACAGAATCCAGCAAAGCATGGCTGTGCGACCCCGGTCCCCTTCATCGCCAGCCCACAGGTCCTGAAGAGGAGCAGCGGCAGCCACCAGGACCTTCTGTGTGTCACCAAGAGAGACCTGGTGTGAGGACCTCGAGGGCTTGGCCCAGGACCCCTGGGGTCTGCAGGGACCCACGGTCCTTCTGCATATCGTCACCCCCGCCTGTCCTGCTGAAGCATGGTTGCTATCATTCCTTTTAACTAGTATTTTTTTGATAATTTAAAGCAACACAAATAAAGCCTATGTTTTAAATTCCCTTGGTTAAAAAAGTCAAAGTTCAGCATCTCAAATTCAGCTGAGCCAAAAAGTGAGCTTCTGGGCTCCTCCACCAGGTCCTGCGTGGGGTCAGAGTGTCCTGACCGCATCCTTTCCTCGCCCCCTTCCTGCCCTGTCTGTCTCCACCCAGGATTCCCGAGCACACAGCTGCCTGCTCTCCTGATCCTGACGGTGCCCTCCTGCTGCTCCTGTCACACCCGTCCCCAAACACACGCACCAGACACACACACGCAACACATGCACCCAACACTCTCACACAAGCACACTCAAAACACAACCAACACTCTCAAAACACACTCAGCATACACTCCAAGCACAAACACAGAGTGCAGCTACACAACCACACACATACAACACACACACACAACACACACAGCCAACTCTCACACACACAACATGCATACCCATATATACACAGACACACCCTCAACGCATATACATTCCCAGCACACAACAATAATCAATACACACCCAGCAAGCATACACAACACATACGTACATACACACACACACCAACAAGCTCCTTATTATTTCAGAATAGCCCTTCTCAAGCACCCCCAGCCTGACGTGTGAAGCTCCCCATAGTGAGCTCTGACTCCTTCTCTAGTTGTGCCTCCCTCTGGCCCCTGCTCCAAAGATGACGCATTCAGGGAATAGTTGAAATAAATGCATTGCTTGCAGTTTTCAGTGGTATAGTTCGTGTTTGTATACATTCTGAAAGCAAAAACAACAACCCCCCCACGTGCACACACATGCAGTACAATAGACTTGTATTTATGAAGAAGGAGAGATGCTCAAGGGCGGCTCTCCGTACCTGCACTGTCGCAGTGCAGACGGGTGACTTCCATTATGACCTCGACGCAGGTCCTCTGGCTGGCTGCAGGCATCTCTGTCACAGCTCTGATCACAGCAGCTGCAGTCCTGACCTGTGACTGTTTGGAGATTCCTTGGGGGCGGGGACCACACCTTCATCATCCGAGTGTAGCCAGTGTCAACACGTGATGTGGCAGATGTGCCCTCTCGGATCCCCTACATTGGACCAGGATCCAGGGGCTCTGTACTGGAGGCCGGAGGACAGACAGTGGCAGCAGGTGGTGGTGGCCAGTGACTTAGGTGTAGCCCACCATAAGCCAGAGTTTGCAAATGATTCTTAAAAGAAATGTGCAGGTAAGCCTCTAAAATTCTTCAGGCAAAATGTGCTTTGGAGATGTGTGGACTCCGTAAGCCAAGTCTGCACCACTGTGTTCTCACTGAAGACACTAGGTAGCGGCAGGAATAGGGATATGGCCAGGGCCCTGCGAGAGGACTCAGGTCTTCACAAAGTACAAGCCGCCAAATAGCTCCCATTGCACTTGTCCCGGTGTCCGGCATCTGTCCCTTTGGTTGTAGCTGCGGTTTTCAACTCAGCAGAATCACCTGGGGAGGTCAGGCCGGAACCTCGGTGATCCCTCCAAAGTTCTGGCTCAGTGGTCACTAGCCGGGTCTGGGCCTTGGTCTCTTAAAAGCTCTGCAGATGACTCTGATTCATGATCAGGACCCAGAACCCTCCCTAATGCCCGAGGGCTGCTAGGGACTCACCCTGTGTCTTCACGTTTCGCTGTGAGGATCCCAGACACTGTTCCCAGAGCATGCCTAGCACTGATTCTAGTGGGGCCACTTACAGTAAGAAATAATTACTCTGAGACTGTCCTGGTTGAGCCTGTGACCTGTGTGTGTCGCTAGGAAGCCACTTACTTCGGTGAGAACAGTTAGACATGGTGCCTGACAGCCACAGAGTTTTGTATTTTTCTCAATTTTAGTTTTACATGATTTAATACATACCCCTTGTAGGGTATTGGTTAAATAAACAAGGCATTTGGAATAATGACGTTTAAGAATATGAAGAAAATAATCACTACTCAGATCAACCGCAAAAATTTTACCCATTGCATGGATTGAATCAAAATTCTTTAAGAAAATCAAGGTTTCTCATATCTCAAAACTATGGTCTAAAAGAGAATACATAGTAGCTATTTTATCAAATTGCTTTTCCTCTTACAGAAAATAAAACT